GTGAGATGCCAACAAAATCTTGATATTTACCCATAACCAACACATGGCAGAACCCTATAGTATATATATATATATATATATATATATATATATATATATATATATATATATATATATATATATATATATATATATATATATATATATATATATATATATATATATATATATATATATATATATATATACAATTTATTTCATTAACATTATTGTATTTAATATAAGTAAGTTTTGCAATTAAAATATCAGTGGTGATATTCTCTTACATTTAATATACTAAAGTGTTCCCAAAAACTTGGAAGTAATATTGATAAACTAACAGATTATAAAACTAACTAAGTTATTGTAAACTATGTATGTTCGATTACATGACCCCAGTACAGTAATAATGTATGTAATTAAGTGTTTTCAATCTGAAAATATTTAAATATATTTCGTCCTAAGTATAGAAGGTAAGTACGTTGGTGTGGTTACCACGAATCAACAAGATAGGAGGTAAATCTTTAGTCATCATCTCTAACCAACTCATGTACATCGTAGGTTCAACTGCTTCACTGGGCACAGGTAACGTCATCACAATTAAACTCGCATCTTTACTGTGTTCTCTTAGTAATTCACCTAACCGGATATGACGTAAGCTTCTCTTTTTATGTTCTCCCTCGACAGAATGCCCGGCCAGATTTTTGAATGTTTGCATGTTCTCTAAACTTGGTTTGTCGTATAATCCGTCAAATTCTTCCACACACGAAACATCGATACGGAACATTTTCAGTAAATTGACCATACGAATCTTACTAGAACTGATAGAACTTTCTTTCGTTGTCGCCTGTGGAGTAAAGACTCGCAGTTTACATTGCTTCCAAAACCGAGATTGACTTAACAAATACGGGATAAGCAGAGTGAGGCCACCGTCATCAAACAACCACCAGACATCAATGGTTCCTTCGCGTTTCTCGTTTACAATACGTAAAATTTTCATTTCTTTATCAAAATTGGTTCTAAGGATAGCCACACCAAACTGATGATCAAATGCATTTTGAATAATATTCACATAGTTCTTCGTTGTTTTCGTTTCTTCCAAAGATTTATTCCCATCATCTGGTTGTTCCTTCAGGATTGATTCTCGCCAGTTTGTTTTGAAGCCAAGGAAAACAGTGTTGGGTTTTATCTTACCAAGGCCTGTACATTCAAGTAAGCACTTCACACCGAGTCGGAGATCATGAGCTAAATAGGAAAGAATAACGGAGTAAACAGATTTTAATACCAATAAAGATTTTTTCTGTGTTGGTGTAATGTACTCAGGTGAATATGATGCTTGTGATGTTACTCTGAGTGTATATCCACACCGGGCAAGATTATTAGGTTATTGGTAAATAGGTTATTGGTAAATATCAAGATTTTGTTGGCATCTCACTCGATTGAAAACACCCTGGTTATTTTGTGTACTGTTTGCCAGATGTAATGTTAACTGGTTTGTTACGTTGTCGGGTGGTTGTCGTGTGGTATTAGCCCGTAATTTACGGCTTATGATGCACAATGGTGTAAAATTTAGCAGGTTGTACATACAAGGTCTGTCTGGTGGCACGTGAAGATAGTTTAAAGTTGTGACGTCGTCGTCATGTGGTTCAAAGTCATTTCAGATGGTTCTGTCAGATGGTGCCAATGAGCTCTCTATATATTTCTGGAGCAAGAACTTCAGTCATTCGTCCTATGAGAAAAGTGAAGCCAAGATGACGGAAATTGGCGTCCAATAGCGATTTTTCCCAGTTTTTCTCGACCGGACCGTATCGCTAAACAAGTAATCAGTTCATAAAACCTGTGTGTTATGCTTTAAATCGATATAAAAATACAAATTTCGGCACACTCATTGCCAGTATCGTGTTAACCGCGCAGACAATAACAATTGAAAGAGACTGGAACTAACGTCCAATAACTCTTCAATTTCCACCATCTTGGCTTCACTTTTTGGACTTGAGTTCTCGCTCCAGTTATATGTAGAGCTCACTGGTTCGTCCTAACCGTAGCGAATTTATTCAATCAATTATTGAATAAAAAACTGTTTTTTCATCCCTTTCCTGAAATCCCAAATGGACAGTAGAGTCCTAGACTCTACAGTCCATTTGGGATTTCAGCATTTCATTTCGGTTTAGGCCAGACAATTTTACTCTTTAATGGGGCTAGTTTCGATCTACCTGTAGAAATGGTATGAAATGCCTTGATCTTATTTTGAAGAAGCCATGCATTCGCCTTTTCATAATCAGCGTGTTGATTACTAACAGAGCTTTCATCCTTCACTTGGCCACAAATCATAAGACCGTTGTTCTTTGTTACATGCGACACCAAATGTAGCAAATCACTTTGTTCGTGAGGTGAATCACATAGGACAAGGCACTGGGGACGAAAGTTCTTCACGTGATCCGCTATGGAATTATATTGGTAACTCATGGTCAGGATTGTACGGTAGGTGACTGCTTGTGTCGAGGAACCCCAGTTCACCTGAAATACAGAAGAATACCAAATTCTGGTAAAAAATCGGGACTGTTAAATGTAAACACCATCTAAAAGGTTATAAAAATGTATACCGTCAATTGCATTGAAAGATGATAACATATTCTATACGTAAATGAAACTATGATACAGTCGAACTTGTCCTTACGGAAACTTCTAATAAGGATTGTTTAATATTTCCCGAAATAATATATTAATCTCCAAATTATGCTTAATTAAGGCCAAAGTTATACAGATAAATTATACGGAGCAGCACTTAACTCGATTAGTACGTTGGTTACTCTTACCTCAGGCTTTTTATACGAGACATATTTATAAAGAGCTCCAATGATGACAATTGTAACTAAAGCTGCCCACCATTCAATAAGAAACATAATACCAATACATAACAATGCTCCAAATAAGGAAACCCATTTGTTGTAATATTTAAACGATGGTCTCCAACCTGGTGATCGACCCAAAGATGCTGCAAACACAGCATAATTGATTAGAGCATACGACATTAGGAAAAAGTTGGAAATGATTGGAGCAATCACATTAAGTTCAGCAATTGCAATGAAACCAGCAGCAATGAAGAAGACAAGAATGTAGGCTCTTCGTGGTTCGTCATTAGGTCCACTTCCTTTGGCAAAAAACGTGATATATGGAAATATTTCATCTCGACAAACAGCTTGGAAAACTTTAGGGGCTCCGACCAAACTGGCAAGTGCAGAGGATAATGTTGCAGCAAAAATACCAATGATGACCAATGGCGCCCAGACTGAAATCTTTTGCATCATCTTTGAAAATAAGGAAATGCTAAATCAGCAGGAAATGCTAATATTGGAATTTGTAGTTGGTAAAGTAGTGTCTATCCAATAAGGTATATGTTACCCAGGGGTTATCATGCTTTAGCATAAACGCCTCATCGTTCTCAAGGCTTGACAGGCTGCCTGTGTTGCCGTAAGATGCTCTGGGAACAAGAATGGCATAAACGTAACTAAATTAACTTCAGCCATACTGCGTACTATAGATCAATCCGTTCTGCTTATTGTTTAAACTACCTGTTTTTGTCAGGGCCTGTTACTATAGGAGAAAACGTCCTTGTCAAGTATTTTTCAGTTTTCAGTGAACAAAAGTGATTTTTTCTTTTATTGTTTATATACCTTAGTCCTACAGGAAGCATTAACTCTTATATACTTAGCAGCTAAGCAATTTAAAAACCTTTACCTGGTAATCGTTATTCAATCCATACTTGCACTCCATCATAGCACACGTAATCGTCTCATTAACAATTCCTGTAGCATCACGTACAGCACAAGATCCAGCCATTATACCCAGAAGTACATAAACCACCCCAGTTATCCCGATTGCAAGAAATGTTCCTTTGGGGATCGCCTTTTGTGCATCTCTTAAATCTCCTGAAATATTTACTCCTGCAAGAATGCCAGTGGCTGCTGGGAAGAACACAGCAAACACAGAGAAGAAATTCTCCTTTCCAGTGTAACTGGGGGAAAAGTTTTCACTAAGCGCTGAGGAACTCACACCAATGAAACCCTTTGACTCTACATCAGAAGAGAGAGGACCTACAAAGAATCCTATAATAATGCTTACCATTGCAGATAAGAGAAGAAAGAGTAGGCCTAATTGTGCCTTTAATACCCACTCCAAACCAACCAGTGTGAGACCTAACAATATCACAACTGTACCTAAACCTACTATTCGAGTATCATTGATGTAATCTATCATCACAGAACCATTTTCAACCAACAAGTATGCAACAGTTTCAGCAAAACCGACAACATACATTGCCACAGCAACTGCATTTGCCAATGAAAAGACCAGACCAATAGAACCACCAAATTCTGGACCCAAACTACGTGAGATAAGATAGTACGCTCCACCTGAACACAAAGAAAAGATATTTAAAAAAATCATTTTAGACTAGCTGAGAAAAAGTGCTATGTTCTACGCTTGAATATATGTGCAACATAAAAACAAAACATTAATTCTGTCTCTGAATACAATTTGCTTCTCATTAATCAATGAGACTTCAATCTTGTCACGCCTTGGCCTTGGGGCCTGGGAAATCTAAAAAACATTGTCCCACTTGGAAATTCTAATGCTTCCTCGAACGTTTGTCCGTTTGCCTACCACCAGGCCCGAATGTTTCCTACATTTCATTGTTAAATAGTAAGATTTAAATCGCATGTTTTTTTTATCGGATTTAGAGTCACAAAAATGGGATCGATATCGTGAATCTAAAGATAATAATCATGCGCAGTGCGCTGACTATGAAAAGTGCATGTAAGGGCCAGGGGCAGCCATTCCTTCTCTCCTCAATTCAGTTGGTAGAACTGAGAACCTACTATTCAGTTCTACAATCTATGTAAGTAATTTTAAAGTTCTTATTAAGTCATACCTCCTTTAATTTGTCCATTGGTACATATAGCTGACATGGAAATGGAAGTCAAGGTTGTTACGAAGGCAGAAAGCAAAATAATAACCGTTGAGAAGGCAATCCCAGCCTGACCAACCACCCAAGTCAAGCGAAGAAACAACATGACACCCCAGATATTTAATAAACATGGCACAAATACACCTTTTATCCAACCGAATTTCGTTGGAGCTTTCAACGGTTTGCTTCTTGGTGCAGCTTCAACGTCTTCATCACCTTGTGTTCGAGTCTAAAATTGAATCAAAATGAACTGAGCTTATTAACTGTTTTATTCATTTTTACCTTTTATTGTTCAAGTATATCCACATTTTCTTCAACCACTTTACTATCCCTTCAATTTTTTATACTGCAAGTGTAGTAACCAACAATGAACCCACGATAAAGTAATCAACTTACCGAAAAGTGAGTTTACTCTACTGGATTTTTTACAATGTATATATGACCTCATGTCACATTTCAAGGACTATAGTATGGGGAGAGTTTAAAGCCTTTTCCCAGGCAAGAAATGTGGGCTTATAGAGAGTGATCAAAATACTCACAAGTTACCCATGCATGCATGCTGATCATATATGGTGCACCGTGGGGGAAGTACTGCAGTTGAGTGCGGCTCGTTCACCAAATGCGACTTAAAAACCCGGCAATAAACGTTTACCTGAGCCTGCGTTTCAGTGTCACTGTTAATATTTCCATCTTTTTCAAAGTTTTTTCTCAGCTGATGTAAGGTCGGTCGAGATTTGATGGAATTTTTTCCTCCAGGTAAATGTCTCTTAGATGAATCATTTCGATAAAATACTGTCATGGGAACTGCTTCATTTGTGCTGGTATAACCCATGGTGTTCTCTGCTGTGCTGGGTGTTTCATATCCTAGACCGTCTGTATCTGTTGGGTATTTTCTTGCTTCTCGTTTCGCTGCAACCTGTGGGATGATTATCACGTTTATAAACACATTTAATTTGCAATATATCCTTAGACTGTTCTTAATCCTTACAATCCTAATCACCAATCCTAACGCTTAAACCTAATGCTAATCCTAAGTGTAAAGGCCATTTTACACTTTAATCGAACCGCAGAGTATTGCTTTGTTCCTAGGGCAATATATAGAGTGGTACTATTGACTTCGACACAAAAGAACCTTAATCCGTTATATAATCCTAGCCTCATCTTAATTCCCTGCCTAATCTCATACTGTCGACTCCAACCTGATGATAACCTCAATGAACCCGTAAAACTATGTTGTCATTACGGGATCAGGATATATCGAAAGTCTACCTGGGTGACATCAAATCTTTGACTCGTTATATCTTCGTCATCAAGATCTACTTCTGGATTATCCATTTTAAACACTGTTTAGAATGTTGTATTTCCTACGTCTGCTGCATGAAATAAAAAATACGATATCGTTTATAGCTTAGCAATTGAAAATGGTGTCCCTTTATATTATTCCACTATAGGCACAATAATTGTTCATTGACATTTTCACTGAACAATCATTGACTAATTAACATTTTCAAAATAATCATTGATCAATTAATGGGGATCATGGCTATATATAACAGATCATCAAGTCACATTGTGTAAGTATATATAACCATGATGTCCGTATCGAAATGATCGTATGATATATACTGAAATACAAGTGGGCACTTGGGGTACTCCCCTCCTAGTTCCACGATTACCCGCTGTGCAGGGTCCCACTCTACCTAAGGGACCATTCATTATTTATGACCGGGGGTGGGCTGGCAAAACTCAATTGACAACTAAACAAAATGTCCTGCCCCACCCCCTGCATCACAAAAAAATTCAATGACCCCCTTCACATAAATTCTAAAAAATAGTAACCTCCCCCCCCTCCCTCCACCGATAATATAATAAATGTACAGTACTGTATAGAAATGAGCTCTTTAAACTTGTTGCAAAAGGCTTCAGATCTTTCATTTACTTGTGCTTTCAACAATTAATATGCATGCCGCCTATTTGGTCCATTAAGCTGCAGAGTTTCCTGTTGACGAGTAGGGTGTACTGGGGCGCAATGGGTTAATTAACATTGTCAGATTTTTTGGTTAATCCATTAAGCTGCAGAGCACCGAAGAGGCTAAAGTCCGTACCATTTTTCGCTGCTAAGAGTGTAGTAAAAATTGCTCAAAAAGGGAAAGGTTGCTTGAGCCGTAAAAAGTGCTCGAAACGCAAAAAGTTGCTCAAAAGTTGCCGAGCATATTCGGGACATGCATACCAGAGCTTCCCCGTTGACAAGTAAAATCGGTTAGGAGTATAGGGTTAGGAGAAGGGTTCGGGTTATAGTGCCGTAGGAAGCTCTCTTTGATTGGGGAGCTGAAATTGAGGGCAAATGCCCGAGGAAATTTTTAAATTTAGAGTCTCTGAAATGCCATTTCCTGGACTTTGGGGGAAGATTTGATAGAATTCTGATGGTCAGAAAACAGCATTTTAGTATGTTGTTAATTAACTATATATTGGATAAGTTCATTTGCAGTTTGTCATGGATAAATGGATAATGTAGCCGCTTAAAATTAATCAATTGTCAGTATTTTTAAGGTATATTATTTAAATGATAAAGGTCTGCATGATTTTGGAAAAAGAATGATTATTAGCAAACTATTGGGGGAGGGGGTTGCTAAGGCCCTGGGTTAGGAGTACTAGCTAGTGAGTAGTGACTTGGACATTTGACTCGGATTTGACTGTGACTTGACACGGTAAACCGAGAAATTCTTTACTAAATTAAACCATGTATAAAATACCTAGTATAAACTAGTGTATATAGTATATGCCAAACTTTCCCTGGACGTAATTTCGCTACATCACTTACACGTTAATTATCTTTTTTATTAAAATGTACATAATTGAAATATGACAAAAAATGATGGCAAAAGTTATAAGGTAGATGTTCGATTATTTTTCATCAGTATTAGCTGTGCGCATTGTATTTTGGGTATTTGTGCATTGCATTTTGGGTCTATCTGTTGAATAAAATTGAAAATTTTGCTAGCTATATATGAATTTGCTGCCTGCTCGCTCCCTGTGGTAGCAATAATCGTTAACATGTCAAATTTTTCTCCACTATTATAAATAACTGGACCCCCCCTTCTGAACCAATATTTTTAGGTGGCCCCCCTTTTTCTGTCAAAAATACCTCATGACCCACCCCCTTTTTTTGCCAGCCCACCCCCAGTCATAAATATTATTATATGAATGGTCTCTAAATTGCACCCAGTATCATCTAGTCATGAAATTCAATTCATTGTAGTTAAAACCTTCTATAGCGCATTTTCATTACTAAATTCAGCTTATTTCTAAAGCTATAAAGACAAATTTCCACAGTACCAAGTAATTGTTTTGTTACTATGAAAATTTTCATGAATTTTGATCAGTGAAGACTCGAGCGGTTAGGACAATTTACAGCACAATCCAATCGCGCAACATGGCCATGTGTAAAACTACTTTGTACCAACTCTGGTTTTAATGAAGCAATTACTTAATTCTTGTAATCACTACAATCCAGCAAAAAAGCGAATCAAAATATCAAATTGATGAACCATCTCAAAGTAATATAGCCTACTATCAAACAAATATACTGTTATAAACGAAGCATTGAATGAACTCTGGTTCATTAGTTTATTTAAACATATTTATGCGTTTGCCCAAGAGCGAGATGAGCTTTTATCGCTATTGGGGCAAACGCATAAATATATGTTTAAATAAACTAAATGAACCAGAGTTTCACTAACATTTACCAAGTTTGATATCTGCGTAGGCGATCTTTTACCCTGCGTAGCGGCTCTGATATAAAGAGCGATCTTTGGACTCTCATAAACTTCGAAAGGATTACTAGCAGATTTTCAAAATCCTTATTACAGAACCCGCAGCCCTCCCAGACATTCAAAATTGCACGACTTACCTTTCAAATATTTTAATTTCTTGGTGACCGATGCAAGTCTGCAGACGTTTTTCTGAATTTCTTGACAGTAGTGAGTGATCAGAGTCAATTGTGAATCAGATACAAAAAAATTAAGTAATATCTGCTGCGCACAAGAGATTTTCCAAAGAAGGAGTGGGAAACGTTGTGCAATATGCGTGTTCTTTTATGCACGCATCATATCGTTATACTTGAGGCTTTACAATAATTATACAATATTAGAGTAAGGTATTGATCTGGGATCACACGTCATCAAGTGTGCACAGACTAAATTACCACAAATTACACAAGAACCACAAGCAATCATGCAGCTGGGGAAAATTGCAATGAAATGTCCAGCCAGGAAGTGCAAACTCATTATGGTAAAAGTAACTCGTGAAAACAAATTAATGATTTAGGCTATCCAGTGGTTGCAATTGCGGGTTCATGAACTTGAACTTGATTTCTCATGCGGCACCTCTTGAAAGAAAACCAAAGTCATAGCAACAGTAGTGCACTTAGCAATAACGCATTCCGTTCTGCATCCACAAGAAGCATACCAGTATTGATTGAATTGCATCATGCATAAATTATTCCCTATAGTGCTTTGGGTTCAACAATGTTTAAAGGCTGTTTCCAGCGTTTTTCATTTAAATCCTTTTAGATTTTACTTGTGAAATAACTAATTAATCAAAGGATACAGGATGTATCAAAAAAATGTACACCCTTTCAAATTCTAACTAACCATAATCTATTGTGGTAATTTGACAGCCTTATAATTTCTCGAATTAATGAATGCGTGAAAACACAAGGTCTTCTGCACATGGGAATTTAGGATAACTTCTATTTGTATGAACAAATACACAACTCAAAGAAAAATGTTTAAAGTAAGTATTATTCAAGTCTGCATAAGATATAAAATGGGCCAGCTTACTGCAGAGCAACGAATATTTAAAAGGTTATGGCTACTTTGAAGGGTGTACATTTTTTGATACATCGTGAGAATTTAGTTTTCTGTATGATTTAATGTGTATTTGTTGAGATAATTAGTACTAAATATAAAATTTAGAACGACTTAAACCTTTCCGGCGCACACGCACGTGTGGAAAGCAACCTTAATTAAAGGTAAGCGCAATATAATTCAAGTCTGTTTGGAGAGAAAGAACCAGGGTTTATTTTAAGAAAAATTTAGAACTGCACATATAGGGATGTTACGAAGGCAACGGGTGTTTGACTGGGGGGGGGGTCGAAGGATTTTTACCTGCATATAGGTGACAGAATAATGGTGTGGTTGGGTGGGAGAATTGGAGAAAGGCCAGGCAAACTCGATTTTGGGTGCGGGAGCTAGGGGCCGGGTGTTCCCCAAAATAATTTGAATCTAGAGGCTCTTAAGTTCTGGCAAAGATTTGTTTTACCCAACCACTCACAAAAACTGTTTCAAAACATGTAACTGAGAATCATGGACACTCAATATATAACAACCTTAAATTTGCATTTGAGGTAGCAAATAATCTCTTTTGGGGAGCTTCGCTCGCCCCAATTTTAGCTTCTTTTCCATTACCCCAGCACGTAAGTGATTTGTGAGGAAAATAGGAGGGTCTGGAGTCCTCCCCCAGAAAACGTTTATATTTGTGATGCTCAATTAATGACAGCATTTCTGGAATTTGTTGGAGCATCCACAAGGGTAACGAATAAATGAGAAGACTGTTTTAATTAAGGCTATTTCTGTTAGCTTGGTGAATGCACATTTGTGTTTTAAGAACTGCACAAATGGGTTTAGAACTGCACATTTTATGTAGAACTGCACGTTAAAATAAATCCTGCATGCAGTAATGCATTCTGAACGGTTCTTGATGCGATAAATACAACAGGCTTAAATAAGATACTGTATAAAGGAAAAGCTAAAGATTCTCCAAAACAAACTAAGGGCAATAAACCAGGCGATTGCCGTAGGGGTACCGATTCAGTTCTTCGCGGCCGGTTCTTCGCAGAATACATTTTGAAGAGATCTCCACACAATTCCGTATTTCAAGCATAAGAAGAGTATTCAATATGTTTTACAATTAGAGGACTAGCTACAATTACAAAGAAATACAACTGCAACTGGGTTGATTATTAATTATACAGGTTGGAAGAAAAAGGTTAAGGTGAATAACCAGTGACATCATTTCCACAACAAGCATGTGGTTTGGTGGTAAGGACTACCGACTGTAATGTACCAGCTGTGGTTTAAATCCTGCAGAGGTAGTTTTTTAATTTGAAAAAGGTTGATTATTAATTATACAGGTTGGAAGAAAAAGATTAAGGTGAATAACCAGTGACATCATTAGACTACCGACTGTAATGTGCCAGCTGCGGCTCAAATTTATGACTTGAAATGTGTTGATTATTAATGATGCAGGTTGGAAGGAAAAGGTAAGGTGAATAA